ATATTTTGTTCTTCTTCTTTTTTTTTCTTTTTTTTTTTATTATACGATTTTCGTATATGACTGTATTTTTGTATATTATTTATTTCAGTACTTAAAAGAACGCTTCAAAATTGACATACCTCATCGGTTCAAAACATATAACTTCAAAAGTTTGACATTTTGCGATCATTGCGGTTCAATGCTGTACGGGTTGTTCAAACAGGGCCTGAAATGTGAAGGTAATAAACAAAAAAAAATTATTTCTTCTTTTTCTTTGTCTTTTTTTTTTGATTTCGTTGCTTAATTTGGTAGCTTTTTGTTTTAATTATTTCTACTGCTGTCGTTGGATGAGTGGAGTAATTGGATAACAGTGACAATGACGGTTAATGAAGAAAGGCAAACATTGTTTTGATACAGTTAATTATATAATCACTGCCAATTACAATTGGTGATACTATTGAATGGGAATTAGGGGCAGAAAAATGGTTTACTTATTCTGCAAAACGTATTTGAAAGATCAATTGTATTAATAGCTTAAAACTTTTTGGAAATATTTGATGCCATTAGGCAAATGCATATTGATAATAACAGCAAATAATGACATCAGCTGAGGTGGGTGGTTTACAAATGAACAGATCGAACTTCCAAAATGAATGTTTTCATTGTCTATGTTGTCATTGTCATCATTGTTGCCTATGTAATTCCAGAATATTTTATTGAAAGATTTTAAAGCAAAAGAAAAAAAAAACTTTTTTCAATTTTTCAAAAATTAAAAAAGAATGGAGTAACCAAAGTGGATAAATATTTGTTATATTTCTATTTTTATGTTTCTTTCATAGCGTTGTTCAAAGACGATGTTTTAGTGCTGAGGTAAAATGATATCAGGAGATTTTTTTTCGGCCAAACTTTAAAGTAAATTAAAGTACAGAGTAGCAAAGAATTTGAAAATTGTCAGTATTTTTATAGAGCATCGTTTATTTTGTTTTGCTGATTAAGGTAGATATTAACACAGTTTTTTTAAGGAAAAATAACTATGCCTTTTCTTTTCTGTCAATTTTTTTTGAATGAAATAAAATTAACTTATTGTTTCAAATATAATGAAAATTAAGAGAAATTAGCAACAACAAAATGACAGGTAAATATTAAAATGAAAAAAATGAGAGGGAAAAAGTGACAAATCATTTTTTTCTTTATATTTGTTTTCAGATGAGGAGATTTGAGTTGTATGCTTTCTGATGATTGTTGTTATCACTAAAATTTGTTCGTAGTTTTGTTGTTTTCTAGTTGTTCACTTGATTAATATAGTTGTTTTTCATTGTCGGATAGATGGGAGTTAGAAATGTTTTTTTTCGTATCTTTTTAGCCAATTTTTTTTTTTTTGGTAAATTAGCAATTAACAGCTATTTTTTTCTCTGCTTGACAGCTATCAGCTCAAATTGCTTAGGACAAATATCGATGATAGAAGAGTAGGTTGTTTTTTCTGAAAATGTCGTATATAATATTGAACAACATATTTATAGCTTGCGGTGTTGCGTGTCATCACAGATGTCAACGTCATATGCCAAATTTATGTGGTGTTAATCAACGGGAATTGTCTCAAGCGTTATTTGAAATTAAACGTGGTACACTTGGCCAAACCAGGTTTCATTTTTTTGTCATGAAGTAACCGAAAATATAAGCAAACAAATCAATTTTTCTACTGCTTTAAATGCTAATGTCTTTTTGCTTGTTTGTAGAGTTTATTGAAAAGTGTTAATTTTGGACGGACCGTTCAACAATACGACAGTCATTGTTTCTTACTTCATCTTAAGAGCGTCAATTTTTTTTTTGCGAACAGTTTAATGTCAAAGATAGCTTTTTTCTAACAGATTACCACTGTCTTACCAATGTTGCTAAATTTTTTTCTTTTGGAGGAATTGGGAAAGTTAAAAAGTTTGTTTTGTGATAGTGATAACAGAGTTATAGAGGCAGAATCAAAATGAATTATTATTTGATCTAAATTTGAATAGTGTTCGATTAGTGGTGCACTTAATGATTAGAAAACTTTTTTGCTTTTATCGTTTATTTCAGAATTAAATGTACTACTTTCTAGCATCGTCAATTTGATTAAAAATCCGTGACTGTGCCGCAACTTCAAGCAAAATTAGAAATAACTTTGTAGTGTTATTGATTTGTTTTTAGTAGAAATTCAACAGAGAAAAAAAAAATTCAAAAATGACAAAAATTCAAAGCTGATTATGGGCACAAATTTTTTGTGAAATATGTGAGATGACCGAGCAGAGACTCTTAACATTTTTTCTACTTTTTTTGTACATTAGTCAAGTTTTTTGCTATCGAAATAGTAATTGTGTAAATTGGAAAAAAAGTGGAAGAAAACAAGCCAAAATGCAAAACAGTTTACTTTCTTTGTTTAGTTTGCAACTGATTTGAATATAAAATCAGGTCAGTTTCTGTTGCACTACAAACAAATACGTCAATTACACGAGAAGATTAGGCGTTAATGACTGACCAATATACAGACTATTATTAGCTTATTGGGGCAGTTACTGACAAAAAAAATTAATTGATTGTTTTGCTGATATCTGAACAATGATCTTCAACGATTGGTCACAGTCATCTATTAAAAACAGTAAAGTTGTTCAAGCGCTCCCGTTGGGGATATTGCTCGTGGTGTGCAGTTAGGCCCAAATGTACCGCTGGAAAGCCGTAGTGCCTCGACACCGGCTGGAAATGCTAATGCTTCACTGCCGGGGACCAAATTTCCTGATAAGTTCAAAGCATTTTTCCGGAACCACAATTACAACGTTGATTCGCGTACTGATGAGGAGTGAGTTTTGCCAGCTGTTATGTCTATTCCCTTTTTCTGAATTTCACCTGACTATTTCTGAGTCTGCAAATGAAACATATTTGTTTTATTGTATCATGGAAATTTTTTAACTATATGTATTATTGACATTTGAATTTACTTCTCATCTTGTTTTACGGCTTAAACAGATGCCATTTGGGTATTTAAACAGTTGCTTTACAGATACATTAGTGCGCCTTGGTCAACAGCAGATGGTATCAAGAAATACGGTTTACAGCATTTTACCCTTCATAAAGTGCTTGGGAAAGGAAGTTTTGGCAAAGTAAGTAATATAGCAGTACGTTGATTTAAGGTTTTTTGGAAATGCGGATAACGGTGTTACGAATTGGATTAGTGTTTTACGTTGCTGCAATAAATGTCCAGAAAACTACTTTTTTGCTTTTTTTTTTTGATTTGTTTCTTTTAGAATTACTATTGGTGTTGCTTTTGAACTTCAATGTCTTTAAGGGGAAAATAGTGCAGTTAATACTTAATATTTAACAATGTTGGAACTGTGTTCAAATTTAGGTAATGCTTGTTGAGTTGAAGAATAAAAATGAGTTTTATGCAATGAAATGCCTGAAAAAAGATGTGATTTTGGAAGACGACGATACCGAATGTACCTTTATTGAACGTCGAGTTCTTATTCTCTCTTCGCAGTGCCCATTTTTGTGTCAACTGTTTTGCTCGTTTCAAACCAATGTAAGTCTTTTTAAAATTTGAATTGATAAATATAATTTTAATTTGTTTTAGTTCGATCTTTGTTATCTTATTGTCTTTTCTGTTATTTGTTAGCACTGCTTCATACTGCAGAATACAAAGTAACAAAATTTCTTTTTCATTTCTTCTTTTGTCAATTTCTAATAGCACTGTTTATTTTAATCTCTTTTTTTTTATTTGGAAGTTACTGATAGCAAAACAATTTTTTGGGATGTTAGCTTTTTTTTTTGCAGGAATATTTGTTTTTCGTAATGGAATATCTTAATGGCGGTGATCTCATGCATCATATTCAAACAGTTAAAAGGTTTGATGAGAATCGTACTCGTTTTTACGCCTGCGAAATAATCATTGCATTACAGTTTTTACATTCAAAGGATATCATTTACAGGTTATTACGTCTCTTATACTTTCTTCTGTTTCTTCTCAGGAAGCTAAAATTATGCTGTTGATAAAGAAATCGCTTACCCTTACGTTTTGTAGTCATATAGCTTTATTGTTCCACATGTATTTGGGTTTTTTTATTCAGAGATTTGAAATTGGACAACATATTGCTGGACGCAGATGGTCACGTACATCTTGCCGACTTTGGCATGTGCAAAACGGAAATGAACCGTGAAAATGGCATGGCGTCAACATTTTGTGGAACTCCGGATTATATTGCTCCAGAGGTGATTTTAACTTTTTTATACAAATTATTATTCAAACCTATACAAAGAGGTCCAAAAAATTTTTGAAAGATATGTGATTGGAAAATGTAGTCACTTTTCTTGATTTAAATGTCTTCTAAAAAATAGTGAATTGTTATCAGGAAGTAAAAATGTTTTTCAGATAATTAAAGGACAACTTTATAATGAAGCAGTCGACTTTTGGTCATTTGGAGTCTTGGTAAAATCTTTACTGTTTGATCAATTGTGATATCTCCGCAATCAACTAAATCAGAAATATGTGATCCTCTTATAATTTGTAGATGTATGAAATGCTTATCGGTCAAAGTCCATTTCATGGTGAAGGCGAAGACGAATTGTTTGAATCAATTTTGCATGAGCGACCATATTTTCCAAAAAGTATTGGCAAAGAGGCAGCAAAGTGTTTGAGTGCCGTAAGTGAACATTACAATTTCTTTGGACTGACATTGTAAAAAAAATTTTGTTCTATAATTATTTTCCACTGTTGGGAGTAGAATTTTTTCTCTAAGTCAAAAATTAGTTAAGCTTTTGATATCTCTATTATCATTCTACTTTTTTCCGTTGATGGCAATGGTTGCATGTATAATATTTATCTAAGAACACTTTGATTTTGATAGGCGTTAGTTTACAGTTTCATGTAGTCTAAAAGAATAGACTATATAATTATAGTATTTCTAGCGCAGCCAAGCAGATTCGAGTTTTATACATATTACTTGCAATATAAAGCCAATCTTTTATTCTGCTCTGAACTTCATTTCTTTTTTTGCTACTTGAACAGTTTCTTACCTGATAGTCTTGGAAAAGAGCAAATGGATTGCTCAAAGATAGCTTTGATGGTGGGAAAGAAGGACAAGAAAAGATAAATGTACTTACAGTTCCAACTGCTTAAGTGAAAAACTACCTTTAGTAGTTACTTGGTTCTTAAAAACTGTTGGTTACTTGCTAACAGTTTTATTTATTTGATTTAGTTGTTCGATCGCAATCCAAATACTCGCCTTGGAATGCCAGAATGTCCAGATGGGCCAATTCGAACGCACTCATTTTTCCGTGGCGTTGACTGGAAGAGATTTGAAGCTCGACAAGTACCACCACCATTCAAGCCAAGCTTGGTAAGTTGTACAGTAGAACAGTTGCTGTAGAACATATAGTTGAAGTATTAGTGTTTTATTGCTAAAAAATCAAAAGCTATGACTATGTTATGACAAATCTGGACTAATTATTTAAAATAATTTTTAGCTTTTTACATTCTAACTTCTCCGTACTTTACAGAAGTCATCAAACGACGCATCAAACTTTGATGAAGATTTCACAGCTGAGAAGCCTCATTTAACACCAATAGCAGACAAGTCACTGTTGGCATCTATTGATCCAGAGGCGTTCCTTAACTTCTCATACACTAATCCACAATTTGTAAAATAAACTAAAGACGCCAAGAGAAAGGGTTGGCATTAAGTAACTGATAGGGTATTGACATTGTTTCAATTAGTTGTCTAGTACTTTATTTGGACAGACAAATAGTAGGACTAGCAAAATTAACGGACAAGAGCCGGTTAAAAAGAATACAGAGAGATTTAGACGAATAGAAAAAAAGGTATACACTTCACTTATCGCTAAATTTATTTGAT